CTAATTCCCCAGGCAGGGTTGTTCTCTCTTCCAAACTCCAACGTACTTTGGATATAGGCCATATGTCATTATTTTTTGTTTGTTTTATTGTATTTGGGGGGGGGGGGTTGATTTGGTTTCTCTTTTATTTTTTTTTATTCACCTTGTCATTATTGATTTGTATGTATAACTCCTAAAGTTTGTATGAATTCAAAACCATTTTTTCATAAATATCATATGTTTTCAAATTTTTCTTTATAATAACCTTTAAACAACTAAAACATTGACACAATTAATTACTTAACTGTGCTAATGGTAATAGTAACTGTTCAAATAATTCTGTTCAAATGACAAACAGGATTTGGCGTTGCACCTGATTTTGGATTCTTTTCCGTTACTTACAAGCTGTATGGCTTTGAGCAAGTTGTTCAAACTCTGCAAGCTTCAGTTGTATCATATATGAAGTAGGGTAATAAAAACAATAGGGCCATTGAAAGGTTTAAAGAAAATATTTATAAAGTGTGTATAATAGACATTACTTTGTAGGTCCCTGGTAAATTCAGGTGACAGTGGTGCCATTGTAAAGTACTTAGCACAAAGCCTGGTTCAAACTAGGCACTGGACAAATACTAGATCTTGTCCCCTTCTTTATCCTTCTAGAAATCTTAAGCCAATCTGGAGAGTATCAAGTTGATCTTCTAAGCCAAATGCCAACATGACAGTTATGATGTGGTCACAAGCATTTCCTTAATAAGCTGTCAGTGGAGGCAGAGGATAGTGATTATTGCCCTTCCACACATATTAGGCCAGGTAACCTATTCTTCTTGGAATCAGTTCATCATCTAACATAGGCAAGGTTGATGCAGATAAACAAACACACAAATTGAATGTCTGCAGAACATTAAAGCAAAAACAAATTTAACCTATTTTAAGCAGAGCACTGTGTGGAATACAAAGACAGACAAATACCAGCACTTCAAGAGTTTTCTATCTGGCAGGAGGCAGCTAGTATGCCAGAAAAGGCTTTAAAATGTAGGTTTTATTATGAATAAATAATATCATCACATCAGGTGTGATGAAACCAACAGATCAGGAAATGATTGGCCTTGAAAAGATAGTTTGCTACTCACAGTTCCCAAGTGGAGGGGGCACGCCAGGTCAGACGGGGCCACAGCAGGAAGCACTGGGATCAGTCCACAGGCAGAGGGAGCTAGGGGAAAATGTGGGAAAGAGCCTTTTTGTAGCTTCCTTTGAAAGGAGTCAACGAGGCAGAGTAGTAAGCAGGTTTAGGATTAGCTAGTTTGAATAATTTCAGCAGGCTCCAGAGCATAGCATTTGTATTAGTCCATTTCTGTTGCTTATAACAGAATACCTGAAACTGGGTAATTCGTAAATAAACAAAATTTATTTCTTACAGTTTCAAAGGCTGGGAAGTCTAAAGTACAGGGAACACACCTTGTTCTTGGTGGTTACTGTCTATAGCACTGCAGGGTATCACATGATGAAATGGCTGAGCAAGAGAGAGTTAACCTACTTACTCACTCTCCTGATAAAGCCATCAGAACCACACCCATTACCACCCATTAAATCATTAACTTATTACTCCATGAATGGATCGATCCATTCACTAGGTCATGTTCCTCACAATCTAATCACCTCTTAAAGGCTCCACCTTTCAATTACCATAATAAGACTTCCCGCCCTCCACACTGTTACACTGGAGTTTAAAACATGAACCTTTGGGAGGCACAATTCAACCCATAGCAGAGTTGTTACTAGTTGTCTGGTACCTGGCCCTGGGGTGATTAGAGCAGGAGAATAGTCACCTGGAGGATAAGAGCTCTATAAAGGTTGTTGGCAGATGGACTCTGGATTGGTTGGATTGTGGTATGCTCCCAGATGAGTCCTTTACTGTTTTTAGGAATTGCTAGCCTTGGGATGGGCAGTCCCTGCATGGTTAGCAAGGCCATAAGATCAGAGAAGATGCAAAGATGTCCTCCAGCTTTGGATCTAGGGAAAGCTTGATGGATAAGATGTTATTCTGTGTTCTTTTATGTGTGGGGCAGACAGTGCTGCCATGTGAGCAGACACAGGAGAGTCTCAGGAAAGCAAAGTTTATTATACTCACAGGCCCTGCAACAGGAGGTATGGTACACCATGCAGGGCATGTGGGAAAGGACCAGCATTGGTTGAGAGGCAAAGAAAATGTCACATAAACAAACACATTTACATTATGATGTGCCAAGTGCTCAATAGTGGAATGAGATTGTACTGAGGAAATACAGCAGGAGAAACTAACTCTACTTTCACAGAGAAGGTGACAACTGAGCAGGGTTTTGAAAGATGAATAGGAGTTTAGAGTTGTGGTGAAGAGCACATTCTATGGAGCTGGACTTCTGGTTCAAATCCTGGCATAACTTCTTGAGTGACCTTGGGCAAATTACTTCCTTCACTTTCTCATCTGTAGAACTGGGACAGTATTTGTAGCTACATTAGAGGCTATTATGAGGAGTTAATATGTGTGAAGGACTTCGAACACTGCATTGAGTACCCATGGTAAGGGCTCAGTAAGTGTGCTGCTATCGCTCCATCATTAAGAATGAGAGGAATGTTGTCACAAGCAGAGGCAACAGCATGCTACATTTTTTATTCTATAAAAAATTCAAAATGCTGCCTAGTTAATGGCTTTTACAAATGAGCAATTTAATGCAAAATATAGAAAAGAAATAGAAATAGAATAGAACCATTCAGAATAGAGCCATAGAGGCCCTGATTGATGAGGAGGGGTAAAGTCACTATGCATCAGGGATCGACTTTATGGCACACTCTTGTGGCAGGCACTGCATGTTGTCACTGAGTGGTTAGCTGATGCTCAGTAAGCCCCTTTTCCATAACAAAGAATAGGTAGTGAAACAGTGAAAACTGGAGAATGAAACCCCTTGACTACAACACACAACTGCGGAGGCCCTAAGAGACTTATATGCAAATTACTGCATTAATTTGAGGCACAGTAGCACCCCCTGTCTTCTCAAAGACTCTCCTTTCTCTGTTTTTTTTTTATAAAAGATATTTATGTGATGTTAATAGATATGTTTAAAGCCCCTGAATGAGGGCATTTATGTAAGATAACCACTAAAATTATGGAAGATATCACTTTTTGAAAATAATTGACCATTAAATATAAAAGATATTTATGTGATGTTAATAGATATGTTTAAAGCCCCTGAATGAGGGCATCTATGTAAGATAACCACTAAAATTATGGAAGATATCACTTTTTGAAAATAATTGACCATTAAAGAGTTACTTATTAAGGTTACTAAGTCAGGATGAGGAAAGTAGAAAACATAATGGAGAATTACATAAAATCAGAAAAGAGAGAACCTACCAACTGCCTCCTTTTCCCATGGATTTAAATAATCACTGAAATAGCCAACACTTGAAATGTATTGATTTTACAATTAACAACAGATAAGTGGAAGAAGCCTTTCTGAAATCCTGGCTAGAACAGGCACATCATGATTATTTTGGTAACCAGTTTCCTGGCTTACAAATTCCACATAGGTGATTTGTTTTATATATTGAGTTTCTATTTAATCAGACATGCCTATGTTTGTTTCTTTGTGTGTGTGTGTGAAATAGGAAATCAAGGAGAAGTTGGATTCCAGTCATAAGCGAGATATAGAAGGCATGGGAGTTCCAGAAATCAAGTATGGAGATTCCATCTGCTTTGTCCAGCATATAGCCAGTGGTCTGTGGGTGACATACAAAGCACAAGATGCCAAAACATCCCGCCTGGTACCTCTGAAAAGAAAGGTAAGGAGTCTGTCTACGATTGTTTTACACTGAATTGCAAGCAACTGGGCGATAGAAGCAATTGTGAGAATCAGGTGGACATGATTGTTTTACTCCTTACTATTCTGAATAGTTATTCCGTGACCAATTATATAGTTTCTCTAGTACATCAACGTATTTTGGTTACTTTGGCCCCAAGTTCAATGAAAAAAAACCCGCCAATTAAATACATGGCAAATCTATGAGGAGGGGGTGAAATTCGTTTAAGGTACTTCAAAAGCTGATCTAAATGACTTTTGGTGGTTTGCTGCTTGGGGATTATGCACATCGTTGCTCCCTTCAGTTAAGTGGATAATTGAGTTATTGTACAGTTTTCACAATACACAGACTAAACAGAATCGCTACAGAGAAAATGCAGATTGCATAATAACAGTCCCACAGGAACCAACCTGCAGGAAGAGATGCTGTGTAATGATGCTCTATCCACAAAGAATGTGTCCAGATTTGAGTGGTCCATCACAGCTGCAGTGGTAACCTAGCTTGGATGCGTGCAGCATCTTTTTAACTGAAAGTAATTGCCATAATAGTGTTTCTTTTGATAGGGACCAGAGAATAGATGGCAGGGTGTGATGCTTTTTCTCTTAGAAAATGCTTACAAAATATGAGTTTGAATAGTCACAGAGCCAAAATAAGATTCTAGAAGGCACTGTACAGTGCAGTTTGGGTATATCAGCCTAATGTGATAACAATTAAAACTTTCCCAGAATGCTGGTATTGTAAGGAAGGATTTGAGGAACAAACTGTAAGGTAATATCTTATTTTGTTTAAAGCAAAACAGACCAGGAAAATATCCAGAAAAGAGAAAATAAAATTATCCAAAGGGAATAGAAAATAGGATAAATAAGAGGCTGCCCAGACTAGCTTGTGTGAGCTCAATCCTTCCTCTGAAAACAACTACAAAGGGTGGATAAAATACAAAACAAAAAGCCAAAGAAAAACAAAACCATTTGAAGGTTTCAACAACCAAGACGCCCAGGACATGAGCTAAAGATCGCACTAAGGTGAATCCACTTTTGTCTCTGCTTTCTCCCACAGCATGTTTGCTGATTTGCAGAACTAGGGATTGGGGTCTTGTGTTAGCTCTACTGTGCTATAGAAACAGACTAGACATAGGATCAACTGAGATTTCTGGGACTTAAGGAACCAAGATTCCAGAGTGATGGCAACTGTGGAAACATGAGCCTTTAGTTCTATGTGCAGTTTCCCCTAGGATCCTAAGCTGACTGTGGATGGGACGTGATGCCAAGATGGCAAACAGAAAGCTGCAGCTGTGATGGGGAAGACCACAGCAGAGATGTTGACAGTATGACAGTCCTAGGGAGATATAAGTCTGGGTTCAGTCTCCCAAGTTGGAATGGCCCTGGAAAATACAGCAGGTTTTCAGCTGAATCCCAGAAGGGCTACACCCTAAGAGAGAGAGCTATACCCTTGGAATAAGGGCAAATTGAAAATAGATGCCAAAAACCCATCCTCTATGCTACCAGCCTATCATAAGAGAATTAAATCCTCTATGGAGCACAACAATATAATCTAGAGCCTGGAATAAGGGCAAATTGAAAATAGATGCCAAAAACCCATCCTCTACGCTACCAGCCTATCATAAGAGAATTAAATCCTCTATGGAGCACAACAATATAATCTAGAGCCTCGGCAGTTTTTCAATCCTACTAAGACAGTAGTTACACTTAAAGAGAATTTGTGGATCTTGGCTATGACTCTGGGTGGGAGAGGAAGCCCTCCAAGGACTCTGTCAAAGTGGAGAGATCTCAGTTTGCAGCATTGTTGATTTATTGTGCCTGTCCCTGCCTTTCTCTTCCAGTACCGTAGCCTGTAGATCCATCTAACTGTGGGAATGTGCAAGTACATTTGGGAGGTGCCTTCAGAAACTCTTCTAAAAAGGTGTCATAATGGTCAGATCTTGTGTGCTGCTTCATTTCATAAGGAGCAGGTTAAGTTCCCCCTCTAAAAATACAAAGGGTGTTCAAATCTGTATTAACCGTTTTATGAAATGAACAAAACAGGAACCTGGAAAAACCAATGGAGAATAAACAATGAAAATCCTAATGAAGGGTAACTCAGTTTAAAGGAAGCACCCCCTTTTTCCATTCCCATCTTGGGCCTCTTCTCTCTGCTGTTGGATTGTGGGACTCCTCCTGGAGGAGAAGAATCATAGAACTGGGCTGCTGAGACCAGCAGGGCATATCACAGCCACATCCTAACAACTGCATTTCCCCTAGTTCTCATTACTTCCTCATTCGGGTGGCCAGTGTGAGTGTTATCTGAACAAGCAAAACCTAAATTTTGGTCTTTAGAGACCAGAAATCTGGGACTGAGGCCAAAGTAAACATAGTGGCAATGTATTATTAAATCTAAATGCAACATTGTTAACTGGTTGCTCGGAAGTTTTGACAAAGTAATGCTTAAGCTGCAGTATGTAAATTAGATGCAAAGTCTTTTTTCAAAAAAGAACATAAACTTTTTCAAATGTGTATTCTACTTCCTATGTGAATTCATTATATCAGAAAATGCCTCCAAAAGAATAAAAAATAAGGAAGAAACTTTCATATGGAAAAGTAGTTTCTTTATATTAAAAATGATAGAGACCAAAAATCCTTACTCTAAAGATATTTTCTGGAGCCATGTGTTTCATTTATGGTGACATATAGACTGACTTCCAGGACCTGCAAGTAGTCTCTCTTCGCTTACTCCCATCCAGGGGAAACCATGCCAGGAAACTTGAATCAGGATTTGACCCTAACTTGAACCAAGGTCAAACCATCCCACTTAACATCTTCACATACTTGACCCTTTAAGGGAAAAGCTACTGATCTCCATACCAAAAGCTGTTAGCTCCACACAAAAATTGAATTATGATGTCCTTGGTGATCGATAAGTATGATTTGCTTCAAGATAACTGATCTAAGATCAGTAATACACTGCCCCTTATAAAAAACAATCACTGGCCACCTATTCTAGGAGCTGTGACAAATGATTTACAGTCAGTGCTCTGTATCTGTGGGTTCTGCATCCACAGATTCAACCAACTACAGATTGAAATTTTTTTTTTAAATTGTGTAGGTACTAAACATGTATAGACTTTTTTTCTGGTCATTATTGCCTAAACAATAGAGTATAACAACTCTTTACATAGCATTTATATTAGGTATTATAAGTAATCTAGAGATGATTTAAAGTATGCAGGATGATGTGCATATGTTATACACAAATACTGTACCATTTTATATCAGGGACTTGAGCATTTGCAGATATGTGTATCCACGGGAGGTCCTAGACCCAATCCCCAACAGATACCAAGGGACAGCTATATATGTAATCCTCCAAACAACATCTAAAATAAGTCCATTTGCAGATGATGAAGTTGAAGCAGAGTGGTCAAGTAACTTACCCAAGGTCATGCAGCTGGGAAGTGGCACAGCAGGAATAGAGCTGAGGTTGTCTGATAGCAGAGCCTGTGCTTTCAGCTCCCCTCTCCAGCTTTCATGAGAAGCACATGACCATCTTGAGCTGCTGTCCCAGCCCTTTTGTTAGCCATCCCAGAGAAGCTGTCCTTCAGTAGAGTCCAGCCTGATCCCAGGAGAGAGTTCTGCTTTAAATTGTCTTCCTTCTTCCCCAATTTGTCTCTGAAGGAAAAGGCTCTGCACAAAGTGACTTCCCATCTCCAAGGGTAAAGTTCTGTGTTCATTTTAAGAGAAAAGTCTGTAATAAAGGATGTTTTCACCCTTTCATATTGGCCATCTAGGCCCAGGGAATTTATTGTAACTCATACCATGGTGGCACATAAAATTCCACTTTCCTCAAAGCACCATGTCTCAGGAATGACTCATATGCCAGCAAGAGGGTGTATGGGTGAGATGACTTTGCTAATGTCCCATTTTCAAAATGGCACCAGGGGAGCTTGGTTGGGGAACGGAATAGGAGGGATGAGAGACAAACTTCAGGAAATGTTGGCTGCCCGGCAGTGGAATAATGTGTAACTGGACCTGCCGTCTTTTCCCTGTGGGTAGGTCATACTCCATCAGGAAGGCCACATGGATGATGGATTAACACTGCAGAGATGCCAGCGTGAGGAGTCCCAGGCTGCTCGGATCATCCGGAACACAACAGCCTTATTCAGCCAGTTTGTCAGGTACGTGAGCTGCTTTTCTTTCTGTACCTGGCAGTTTCTACTCTGTGGCCTTCCAACCCCACCCATTCACCTCCTTTTGATACTATGAGTGTTTTCAGGAAATAATTAAACACCAACGAAGAGTTTTGCCAGAGAGAGCTTGGGACTAAAACTTGTCTCCTACATAGTTGACCCCCTACCAGCTTCATTCTTTGGCCAACAAACACCCAAGCCCCATTGGTTATTCAGGTTGGTGTGGTAAATACCCGAGATCTTCACAAGGAAACTAAGTGAGAAGAGCTGGACTACTTTATGTCCCTTTTGTGTTGGTGTGCAATGAGGGAACGAGAGAGGAGAGACTGATCCACTTCCTGTGTGCCGTTTAGAGAGGATTTCTCCATCCCTCAGAATTGTTGCTATGGTTTGGATCAGAGTAGATTTGCATTGGAAGCGTTGGGTTACCCAACTATGGCTGGGACTTAAATGGAAAAAGTAACTGAACGGCCTGCTTAGGTTGTAATCCCTCCAGGTTAATCAGTGCTGCCAAAACAGAATTCTGTGGGTTGCTTTCACCAATTACCATGAGGAACTGATTCTGTTGTAAACAGTGCAGTGTTCCAAGCCATTCTTCTCTTATGGGAAAATATTACTAAAGCCAAGAAGGTATAAATTGCATGTGTGAATTTGTGTGAAATGAGAACTTTTTTTTATATCTTTACTTTTCTTGCTGTTGAAACACTGTAATCCAAGGGATGTGTACTAGTTAGGATATAAACTAAGCTGCTGTTACAGTTCAGAATAAACTTTTCCTTTTCTTTTAAGTAGTAATATAGAGTAGGTGTGGTTTAAGAAAAATAAGCAGCCTGTCTACTGTGGCTCAGGTTCCTTCTATCTTACTGCTTTGATGTCTCCTATGAGTTCTAAAAGTGTGTCCCTGGACCAGCATATCAGCATCACCTGTGAACTTGCTAAAAATGCCAATTTTCAAGTTTCACCCCAAACCTACCAAATCAGACATCCAGGGAGTAAGATTCAGAAAATCATATTTTTATAGACCCTCCAGGTAATGCTGATACATGCTAAAGTTTAAAAACCACTGCCCTGGAATAGAGATCTTCACCTTGGCTACATATTTGATTCATTCGGGGGAGCTTTTAACTTCCTGATGCCCAGGCCACATCTCAAACCTATTGCATCAGAATCTCTAGAGGTGGGATCCAAAAGCCAGTGTTTTATTAAAGCTCCCTAGGTGATTCTAACATTCAGCCACAGTTGAGAACCACTGTCCTGGTATGTTTTCTTCATCTGTATGGTCAAAAATAGCTGACTAGCACTATGTCTGAGGTCTGTCCTGCAAAAAGGGGAAGAAGCAGCAGAGGCCAAGCAACTTATTTTTCAAAGGATATGACTCAGAAGTAGATCACTTTATCTTGCATTCCATAGGCTAAAACTTAGTCACATGGCCACACCTAGCTTTAGGGAGGCTGAGAAATATATCTCTGGCTGGCCAGCTGTGTACTTTGTACACCTCAGAGGGTCTGCCTGCTCCCCTTCTTCGAAGAAAAGGTCGTGAGAATAAATGGCTTGGTATAGACAGAAAAAGACAGCTGCACGCAAACATGAGCTTTTCATGTAGTCTCGACTAGTAGCAAAATCATCACCCTCAAGGTGGATGGTTTTATTTATCTGACCCCCAATTCTCTCCAACTCTGCCCTTAAATCTTTAATAAAAGACAGTGGCCCCTACCTCACACAAATGAATCAAAGACCTAAATGTGAGACCTATAACTGTAAAATATGTAGAAGACGACATAGGCATAAGTTTTCATGACCTTGGATTAAGTGATGGTTTCTTAAATATGATACCCAAAGAAAAAGCAACAAAATAAAAAAATAAATCTTGCAGTTCATCAAAATTAAAAACTTTTTTGCTGCAAAGGGTGCTACCAAGTAAGTGAAAAGACAGCCCACATAATGAAAGAAAATATTTGCAAATCATATAAAACACTTGTATCTAGAGTAAAGAACTCTTATAACTCAATGATATGGTAAAAAAAAATTTTAAAAAGGTGAATGAACCAGTTAAAAAATGGGCAAAGGATCTGAATAGACATTTCTCCAGAGAATATATACAAAGGCCAATAAGCACATGAAAAGATGCTCAGCATTATTAACCATCAGTAAAATGCCAGCTAAAATTACAATGAGATGCCACTTTATACCTACTAGGATGGCTATAATCAAAAAGATTGTTAGTAACAAGTGTGAGAGTGGATGTGGAGAAATCGGCACCCTCGTGCACTGCTAGTTGGGAATGTAAAATGTTGCAGCCACTTTGGAACACAGTCTGGAAGTTCCTCAAAAGATTAAACAAAGTTACCATATGACCTATCAATTCCACTCCTAGGTGTATGCACAAGAGAAATGAAAATGTATATACACAAAAACTTGTACACGAATATTCATAGCAGCATTATTCATAGTAGTCAAAAATTAGAAAGCACCCAAATGTCTATCAGCTGATGAAGGGGTAAATAAAATGTGCTATATCCATAAAATGGAATACTATTTGGCCATAAAAAAGGAATGAAGTACTGATACATACTACAACATGAATGAACCCTGAAAACATTATGCTAAGTGAAAAAAGGCAGTCATAAAAGACCATGTATTCTTTGATTTCTTTTATATTAAATGTCCAGAATAGGCATATGTATAGAGACAGAAAGTAGATTGGTGGTTACCTAGGGCTGGGGTGTCTTAGTGGGAAAGGGAGAGTGACTAATGTTTATGGGGTTTTTCACTGATGAAAAAGTTCTAAAACTGAATGTGGTGATGGTTGCACAACATTGTGAATATACTGTAAACCATTAAACCATTGAATTTGTACCCTTTAAATAGGTGATTGTGTGATATGTGAATTATATTTTAATAAAACTGTTATTAAAAATGTCAGTAGGAGTTACATGCCTGACAATGGGAAAATTATTTTTGAACAGATTTGTTAAGGTAGAATTTACATATCGTAAAATTTCTCCTTTTAAGTATACAATTCAGTGAGTTTTAATGTATTTACAGAGCTGTACAGCCATCACCCCAATTCAGTTTTAGAACTTTCCCATCACTCCAAAAACATCTCCTATGTCCACTGCAGTTTATTCTAGTTGCTGCTACCAGCCCTAGGCAACCTCTAATCTGTTTTCTGTCTCAATACATTAAATTGATAAATTAGGTGAAATCATAAAATATATTGTCTTTTGAATCTGGTCTTTTCACTTAGCATTATACATTTGAGGTTTATCCATGTTCTGTCTCTTTTCTGTTGCTGAAAGGTGTTCACACATGCATGTACATGTGTGTGGAGAGACAGATCTATATTGCTATAGATACACACATACCACATTGTGTTGGTTCTGTCTCTTTTCTGTTGCTGAAAGGTGTTCACACATGCGTGTACATGTGTGTGGAGAGACAGATCTATATTGCTATAGATACACACATACCACATTGTGTTTATTCATTCATCAATTGATGAACAGTTGGTAGTTTCCATTTCTGGTTATTGTGAGTAATGCTTCTATGGATATTAGTGTAAAAGTTTTTGGATATATGCTTTTATTTCTCTTGGGTAAATACTGAGTCATATGTAAATTCGCTTAACTTTTTAATGTATGTTTTATTGTGGTAAGATATACATAATATAACATTCACTGTCTAAAATAATGCATTTTTAAGTGTACAGTTCAGTGGTATTAAGTACATTTAACCCATCTCTAGAGTTTTTTTTTATCATCCCTAACTGAAACTCTATACCCATTAAACAATAACTCCCTACTCTCCTTTCTCCCCAGCCCCTGGCAATTTCTATTTTACCTTCTGTCTCTATGAATTTAACTATTTTAGGTACCTCATGTAAGTGGAATCATAGCATATTTATCCTTTGTGTCTGGCTTATTTCAGTTAGCAAAATGACTTCAAGGTTCATCCATGTTATAGCATGTATCAGAATTTTATTCCTTTTTTAGGGTGAATAAAATTACATTGTATGAAAATACCATGTTTTGTTTATCTATTCATCAATTGGTGGATGTTTGGATATGTTTAACTTTTTAAGAAACTGAAAAATTGTTTTCCAAAGTGGGTGTACCATTTTACATTCACCTCAGAAATGTATGACGTTGGGCCGGCCCGGTGGCGCACTGGATAAGTGCGGTGCACTGGATAAGTGCGCCGCTCGGGAGGCGCGGCGGCGCTCCCGCCCGAGGGTTCGGATCCCACATACAGACCGGTTCCCGCTCACTGGCTGAGTGAGGCGCGGGAGCAACGCCGAGGGTTGTAATCCCGTTGCCGGTCCCCGGTCCGGTACGGGGGCAACACTGAGGGTTGCGATCCGTTGCCGGACACGGAAAAAGACAAAAGACAAAAAAAAAAAAAAAAAAGAAATGTATGACGTTCCAGTTTCTCCACATCTTTATCTACATTTGTTCTGTTTACTTTTGTAGCCATTCTAGTGCCTATGAAGTGGTATGTCATTATGGTTGTAATTTGCATTTCCAGAATGATAATGATATTGAACATCTTTTCATGTACTTATTAGCCATTCATATATCTTCTTTGGTAAAATGGAATCAAGTTTTTTGCTGGCTGGCTGGTACCGGGACTGAACAGTGGACCTTGGTGTTAACCAGCACCACACTCTAACAAACTGAGCTAACTGGCCGGCTAGCATTTTTTTTAATTAGGTCATTTGTTTCAAGTTGGAATCTGAGAATTCTTTGTATCTTCTAGTTAAGTTTTCTTTTTATGGCCAAGTAGTATTCCATCGTGTATATGTACACCACATTTTCCTTATCCAGTTGTCCACTGATGGATTTGTTGTGTGTGTGTATCTGTGGCTGACCAATACTAGTTAAAAGCATTTTACTAAATTTGTGATTTGCAAATATTTTTTCCTATTCTGTGGCTTCTTATTTTCTTGATGATGTCTTTTGAAGCACAAAATTTTTAACTTTTCATGAGAT